CCCCATATTTGGGAAGTTTTCTGCTTTTACTTCTGCCCATATTATTTTTATATCATTTGTGTTGAATTCTTTCTCACTGATGCCTGTTAGTCTTTGTTCATCTTTGTATTATCTTTCAGATGTTGAATAATTTTTTTTTTGCACCATAGTTGGTTTTAAGAGATCTTTTCTTACCTTTTCACTATCTGCAATTGTGTGCTGAAGGTCTGAAAGTCTATCTTCACTTTCATTCAGATGGTTTTGCCAGCTTGTGATTGAGGCTTTAAATTATTATATAGCTCTTTGAATCTGCTTGATGCATTCTACTTCTTTCCTGCATTGCTCATTGAAGTTATCCATCATTTTTCTATTCTCTACTTTTTTATCAGTCTCTGCTTTAGAAGTACTTAGTATTTCTTTCATTATATTTACCATTTGTATTTTTACTTCAGAAATTATTTCTGATCTTTTTGCAATTGTTTCTTTACTTCAGATGCTACTATTTCGAGATTTCAGGTGTGTGATTTCCAATTTCCTTTTCTTTTCCTCTTTTCTTTTCCTTTCTTTCTTTCTTTCTTTCTTTCTTTTTCTTTTGAACTGCGGATTTAACTGAGGCCCTTGCAGTTGCCAGGGAAGTGTTTATTACACTGAGACACCTTCCCAGCCCCTCCAATTTCTTCTATGCTAGTGTCTTTTGCATTTGTTCTTGGTGGGCTTTGGACCTGAGAATGCATTTTGCTTCTTCTCTTTGTTATTTTGTATAGCACTCTCCTCTGACCTTTGCTGTAGAGCTTTGTTGCAGTTAGTACCTGAGCACCTACAGACATTCTTAGCCATTAGAGATTATGTTGTTAAAGTAGTTGCAGTGTTGTATTTACAGAACTACAATTAGTAACACTAACTGGGTAGTGATATTCAGCATTTGCCAATCCTTTGTAACTAAAGGTTTGTATTCAATACTATAAGAGCAAACATTATGCCTATATAGCTAAGCAGATATTAAATTGGGATTTGTATTTAAATTAGTTCCTCTAAATCTGTCTTATCATCTACCCTGTATGTGCACGGGGCCTTCCAGGCAGACAAGTTCATCCTGGTTACCCATTGCCTCTTCTTGACCAAGAATGAAAGAAAGAGGATACTCTCATAGATCTGGGTCTATCAAAATGTCTCAGTTTACCTGGTCTGGCTCTACCACATTTGAACTCATCCATGTGGGTGTGGTTTGGGTCTGGCTGCTGTGATCTGCTTCTTTCTGCTGTGCCCCATGGAAATGAACCTGTTGTGCCCTCTGCGGAGATGTTCAGCTCCTGGATTAGCTGGGTGGGTCTGGCACCAAGCCTCTCTTCAGGGAGTTCTGCCGCAGTGTTCCACACCAGTCCTGTATGTTGGAGGAGGTTCCCATGAGTGCAGGGATGGTCCCAAACACATGGTAGGCCCTAGTGATGGTTGGAAGGGGATCTATCATTAAGTTTCTCATGTGAGATAATCATATGATATTTAAGTTTCTGTGTCCTATCTATATAATTTATCATTGTGGTCTCAAGATCCATCCATTTTTCAATAGGTTCATTTGAAAATGAGTAGATTATCTATGATTCTGTCACAATACGCAGCCTCCCAGAATATATGACATACATTTCATTCAGAAAACTCTGGCTCCCTTTCTTTTGAAGATGAATGTGTACAGCTGGTTTGGGAGATATAGATAATAGGCCCATTTTGTAGTCTTGTCTGTTACCTCAGCCAAGAAGGTGAGACAGGAGTTATGCCATTCAAATCTGAATGGCAATAGCAGTTCATGTTGTCATTCATCTGATGAGTGAAACAACAGTAAAGGTATTAGTTCAATTTTGCCTTCCAACTGTCACACAAAATATGGCCAGGAACAAATCCTGATGCTATAGGGTATGACATTCTGGGAATTACACTTTAAACTTGACTCAATTTACATAATACAAATCTATCAAAAATATCATCTATCCTATAACTTAAAAACAAACAAAAAACCTCAAAAAATCTCATTTGCTGTTTTGCATTTTGAGAAGTATTTAGAGTAAAATCAATCTCAATATGTCTGCTTTAGCTTCATCTCTTTTTTTTTACACCCCTAAAAACATGTAGAAAACTAATTAGTACAAATAAAATAAAACTACAGACAAACACTGAGAGTAATGAATAATTGATGTTGAAAATAAACAAGAATAGAAACAATTCTCTTCATTTAATTTTCTTTAAGAAGACAATAGATGCTTAAACAAATCATTGGCTGCTGAATTAGAGACTTGGTCAGACCCCTTTGTCATGTACTAATGATGTGAGCTCGGTTTTGTGGGGGATTTTTGTTTGCATTTTTTATTTTTTGGACTTTGCAAAATTTCCCTGCAAATATTCATGATTAGCATTCAAAATAAATGAGAAGATGCAAGCTTAAGGATGATTATATTGTTCCAAAAACAAAGTGTTAATTATATTCTTTCTATTATTTATCTTATGTCTCCTTGTCTCATTGAACTTTTAAGATGAACATTTACTTAGGTGATATTGATCTTCATGCAGTAGCTTACAGAGTACCATTTGATAGATTGAGATATTATTCTGTTAATCCAAAATTATGGCAAGGATGCAGGCACTATACCACTGAGCCATAGCCCTTGGCCCCAAATCTTCCCTCTTGACTTTATAATTACTTCCACATAGGGCCAGCCAAATAGCTCAGCAGATTAATTCTCCTGTTTAGGCAGACACAGGGGATGGGAGTTCAGACCCTAGGCCTGCCATGCTTCCCCTCCCTGGGGTGCATTGAGACGGCAATTGAGACTGAGCATGGTGGCAAGCACCTGTAATCCCAGCTCTTGGGAGGCAGTAAACAGGCGAATCACTAGGAATCTGATCTAGCAATGAGACCCTGAACACCCTGTAGACACTTCCTTAAAATACAAAAGCAAAAATTACTTCATTTTCCAGCATTAAAACATATAAATATCACACAATGACATGAATAGGCCTATTAAAACTTAAGTATATTACATTTAATGCTTCCTTTTACCTAAAAAAGCTTTCATGAATCTATCATTGAAGAAATTTCTTTAGAAATTTTTCTTCTACAGCTATAATGGTTTTGATTTTGTTGTCAATAACTTCTTAGTATCATATCACAAAATGTATGTCTAGCAACTTTCTATAATATCTAATAAATCAAACAAGGTACTATGTTAGCAGAGGTTTCTGAAAGAAAATCTCAACTTTATAGTATTCCTAATTTTATTCTCATATTATTCTTTTTCCCTTCCAAATGTATATGAGTACCCTCTCATAATATATCCTTTTACTTTATGATATGTATTGCAATCATTTGGAATAGGAGCTGATAAAACTCATTTACTCAACAAAGCTTTTCCCAAATCAGACTGAGAATGTTAACATTTATTTAGAAAGTGAATATTAGGATGACAATGATCTGAATATTGAATGTTGTCTTATGGTTTCTTTTCTTTTCTTTTCTTTTTTTCTTTCTTTCTTTTTTCTTTCTTTCTTTCTTCTTTCTTTCTTTCGTTCTTTCTTTCTTTCTTTCTTTCTTTCTTTCTTTCTTTCTTTCTTTTTTATTTTTTTTTCTGAAACGGGGATTGAACTCAGGCTCTTGCACTTGCCAGGGAAATGCTTATTCCACTGAGCCAACTCTCCAGCCCCTCTTCCTTTTTTTAAATAAATGATTAGCTGTGAAAACTTTTTGTGCAAGTTTAAACAATCTGGAGACCACTGGGGGGGCACAGCTTGATGTATTTGAAGAGCTAAGTGAGCACATTATACAAAATTAGAGTGAAGTAGTAGGAGATCAGCAGTAGAGGATGTGAACTATGGGCAGAAACCAAAAACAAACAAACAAACTATACACGACCTTTTCAGCTTTGTGATAAGCTAGAATGGTAAGGACATTGATTGTTTTAAGGAAAAAGTAACACAATATATTATGTTTCATAAACTCCTCTTCTTTAGCGTGCCTAGAAAGGGACAAACACAAATTATTCAACTGCTGTTGTGGTTTGCAATAATGTAGAGCTATGTGAACTTGTTGACAGGTTGACTTACATGTTAGCTTGGAGTATTTAGTAAAGTCTACTGTCATCGTTTGCTGAGAGGGACAGACAGATAAGTCAGAAAAAATGAAGATATGATATTAACCACATAAGGAAATATTACTGAGGTGTTCTAAATTTCTAGAAGAACAAGTTACATGTAAAGAGCATTTATCTGAGAATATTCAAATAATAGCTATGCTAAAATAGCTGACATAGATTTACATAATATTTAGACATGTGTAAGTTGATGAGGTCTCATAGATGAAGGCTATAGTGAAAATGTAGAGGAAGTCCGGATAAGGTAAGCCTAGAAGAATTCCAAAATAATACGTTTTCATGTACGAGGTAGGACAACCAAATAGGGCAAGAAAATGTAAGTATAGACTATGACAAAAATAAGATCATGATGAAAACAAGACTATGAGAATTAAAAGGAAATATGTAAATATTACGAGAGTGACCTATTAGCTCAAAAAATGGTGGAGAATGGGTGTAGTGATATGAGGACCAAAATAGAAGTCTACTTGATTTGACATTAGAAAAATTCTAATAACATTTGCAAAATCCTGAATGATATCATTTACCTGAATGATATGCAGTGTTTATTGGAGTAGGTTAAATTTACAACATGATATGAATTAGTGAAGCCAAACTAAGTTGACAAATATTTTATGACAGAGTTACCAGTCAGGTGATTGTTTTGTCCATCTCAAGTGGAAGACACGAATCCCACAGCGCAGCTCCCCCAGGCGCTCAGGGTCTGGGTCCCGGTGCTCTCTGTTCCCAGTGTTCCACCTCTGGAGTCTACCTCTCAGGACCTCTGCAGGTAGTGCGCCAGCTCTCACGGGCTCCTGTATCACTATCAGCACCGCATCACTGAGGCGCAAAGCTCCTTGTGGCAGGTCTCTGTGACCCTCCCCAGGCCCTGCCAGTACTTACTCAGTGCCAGTGGTCTCCAGCATGGCCACAGCAGTTATCACCAGTCATTTGCTAGTTGCCACCATTCAACACTGCAGGTCTTTGCCGATTTCTTCTGAGGAGTTGTCACCTATTTCCTCCTTGCTTTTGGTCTGGGAGGAAATCTTCAGGGTTAGCAGGGTTAGCAGAAAGTATTATACTTTCTAAAGTGTGATATACTCTGCCACATTACCTGAAATAAGAATCATAAGTGGATTTATAGGATCAGCTGAGGGGCAGTATGTTGAGTGCTTAACTGTAACGTAGGGGATAGAGCCCCAAAAGGCCTCCTTAACTGCCCTGAGTGGGCAACGGAGCACTGCTCGTACAGAGCAGCAGCAGTGATAGTATTTGTATAGACCGGGAGCAACAGAACATGCAGTTTTGTACATTTAGCAGTGTGTGTGTGTGTGTGTGTGTGTGTGTGTGTGTGTGTGATTATCATCCTCAGTATTGAACCCAGGGCCTTATGCACTGAGCTATATTTCTAACATTTGTATTACTATTTTGAGACAAGGTCTTACTAAGTTGCTAAGCTACACAAACTGGGTTCAAATTTATAATCCTCTTGCCTCAGCCTCCCAGAGTTCTGGAATTACAGGTATGAAACAACACACTAGGCTTCTGGTAAACATTTCTGAGGAATTTTCACAATAAGGACAGAGGGTGAAGGGCAGGACAGAGAAGAGTTACCATGCATAGCCATGGTGTGGAGTGGCATAGGCTACATCTGAGTTTCACACCTACTGTGGCCAAGAAATATATCTCTTGGACCCACTGTAGGTAGCTAGGAGAGCCCCAGGGGTCAAGCTGATGATAGTTGAGGAGAAGCAGCTGCTTGAGTGACAGACATTATTCTCCCTGAAATATCAGAACTGAAACCATGACTGCCATTGCTTCTGAGAAGTGTGTATGTCGGCTGTTCATGTGATTATGAGCTCTGGGGGTTTAAGAATTGAGGTTCTATCCATAGTGAGCCTCATACAGTCCTGTGCTTTGGCCTTTCAAATGCAATAATCCTGGGATACTTGTACAAGAGCCCTTAACAGATGGACTGGAGGAGAAAAGAGAAAAATTTGGTGTTCTTGTGGTGGTGGTGGTTCTTGACAAGGCTCATGCAGCAATTTATTTACTAAACTCTTTTTTAAAGATTGTGACAAAATAATACATTCACTAATATTTGATAATTAACTTTTTATTTCTGTTGGTAATATACACCCGGAAGGGTCAAATCTACAATGTTAAATGATTTACTATTCTGTCACAGAAGCATGGAGGTAAGACATATAATGATAGACTTCAGTATATGTTGTAAATGATAATATCTACCAGAAAAACTCTGATTTACATGTTAAAATCATTAGTTAACTATCTAAAGTCATAACTATGACTAAAGTCATAGCATAAGTGTGTTTTACAAAATACAGTTTAATTTTTGATTGGCCCTATTTTTAATACATAAATAGTTGGTTTGATTAAATGAAATGTAAGCCAAATTCTACTTCTAGATATTATATATTATCAGAAAATGAAGGATCAAGGGCAAGCAAGACAGCTCAGTGGACTAAGTGCCTGCTTAGGCAATCAGAGGGACCGGGGTTTGATCCCGGGTACTGCATGGCAACAGCCCCATCCCCAGGAGCTCTGAGACAACACAGAGTCTGGACTTGGTGGCACACACTTGTAATCCCAGCACTTGTGAGGCTGAAAACATGAGGATCGCTATGAATATAAGCTGTGTAGTGAGACTCTGTATAAAATACTAAAAAAAAGAAGAAGGATCAGACATTTATTCAAATAGAGAAGTCTGTTTAAAATTGTAAATTATACACTTTACAAATTATTTTATTGGTTCCAACTGTTGAAGAAATATTTAATAAGTATTAAACAACTTAATTTCTAGAACAAAAATCTGATTTTCTGATATTTAATAAAGTCATATAATTTGTATAAAAGATTGACTTTGAGCTGGCATTTTACTTGACTATGTTCTACTTGTGTGTGTTTTACAAAATAAAGTTTAGTTTTTGATTGAAAATGCAATATTCTTATAAACAGAACAGTACCCAATAAGTAGTGGGCAATAATTGTTTATTGAGAGCATAATAACAGATTTAATACATTAAATAATTCAAGGAAAACTTTACTGCAATGAGATAATGTTCAAATTATCTATTATATATAGACAAATATCATTAACTTAGAAACTTAAAACATTGAACATTTATCTTACCATTTTTGTTGCCTTTGCTCTGGGCCTGTATTAGCTGGGTCTTTTCAAATTGTAAGTAAGACTGACCCATCTAAGATTAATTAGAGTGAATGAAAAGAAATACTATTTATTATGATCATTTTGTATAACACCCAAACAGTGGAGATTCTTTGAAACAGAAACTTAACCAGTTGCTCAGCTCTTAGACTGGAACAATTGCTATAAGTAGAATAGCTGCTAGGTCAATATTGTTGAATAACTGGATATTAGATGACATTTTCTCAAAAGAATATTGTGTTTCTAAACATTTTAATAAGTGTTTTAATAAGACTGAATGAATATCATGTATAATTATTTTTTTAAAAAATCTGGGATAAAAATCCATTAAGTAGTTCTCTCTTTCACAGCTAGTAATTGTGTCTCTTCAGAGTTAATAATTCAATATTAAGGGAGGAAAGGAAATGTGGATTAAAAGAAATTGAAGTGTATTATATACATATACAATCCCCACAAAGCATACACACATGAACAATAATGCCTGCAAAATCATAATTCCAAGGGTAAAAACAACTAAGATATATACATTTTTCAGAATTAACTCAGAAACAGACTGCACATTGAGTCTTTAAACAATTCTGAAGTACAGCAATCAAACACTCAGTGTTAGACATTGTCACCTTTATATTTTTAGGTGCATTAGAACAATAATTTGATCCCCAATTTTTATCTGTTAATGTTTTTACTCACCACTTGGGGATGGCACGAGAAGACACATTTTGATTCTGTTTGTTTGAAGATGCGGCCAAAAGTCCTGAACGTCTAACAAGCTCCTAGGTATTTTTCAAATGTGGATCCAGATATTCCAATTTGAGGAGCAGGTAGTTAGGTCTCTCCAGTAAGGCATTTTAATCTATGCAGCTTTTAATATCATCAAATGATTTTTGGCAATAAAGTCATCTAGCTTTGTTTGTTAATTAGAATTTGAATACCAGTAATGAATCACTTGAAAAACAAGGTTTTTATTGCCATACTTTCTTTCTTTTTTTATGCATTTAGTTAGGGCTTACAGGGTCTTACTGCACAGATCAGGCTTGTGATGATCCTCTTGTTTTTAGCCTCCCAAATTCTGGGATTACAAGTGCACCCCCACCCCGCCCAATCTCTATCGTCCTCTCAGGGTTGGGGCTGGCATGGCATGCAGGGGATCAAACCACAGTCCCTGAGTCTGCCTTAGCAGGTACTTTAGTCTGCAGAGCTCTCTGGCTGGCCCTTTATATCATCATACTTTAAAACCTAGAGCAAGGATTCTTTTCTGATATGTTTTAATTACTATTAGAATTATTTTTCCTATAAAAATGAGGATATTACTAAAACAATTTATGATGTTTATACTATGCACTAAACAATATATAAATTTCATATAAAAAGATTATATCAGTAAAGGATTATTTCTTCTAGTAAGAAAGATTGTAAATTTAATTACCGAACTAAACAATACCTAAAAACTTATATTCTTTAAACAAATATGAAAACCTATCTGTAAAGTGTGAAGAAATCAGTACCTGGAAAATTCATTCTACATATTTCTCACTTCTAGTTTACAGGAGAAAAAAAAATACCCTATTAACCTAAGAGCTAGTGAAGTATCCTCAACTTCTGTAACCTATGTTCAACAAATGTTTATTCTGTTGGCAAAATAAATTTTTTTATGTTGTGGTACAGGGTCTCACTACACAGCTTAGATTCATAGTGATCCTCCTGTCTCAGACTCCCCATTGCTTGGATTGTAGGCATCTGGCGCCACACCTGGTTTCAGTAAGCTGGCACAGCATAGAGTTGTCACAGCATGGGGTACCAAGGATTGAACTCGGGTGCTTGCACTTGCCAGGCAGGTGCTCACACCACTGAAGTATCTCCCCAATCAGCAAAGTAAATTCTTACCTGAAACCATGATCCCCTTCAGTAAAGGAAAACTTGTTTGTCCCACAGAGAAAATGACTTTGGGAATGCATTAGATACTGTTCTAGTCAGTTTATCTTTGTCTATATAAATGAGGGACAGCTTACCTGCTAGAGTGCTGCAGGTCTGTCATCTACAGCATAAACAAAGCCTCCAAACTTTCAGAATAGAGACAATTATTCTTATTGATTTGGACAGTGTCATTTCCTGTTGTGATACAATTGGGTGATCCTCACAAGCCCTCCTACTTGGAAGTTCCCTACCCCCAAAGAAAACTTAACATTATCATATTTTCAATAACAAGTTACCTATTGGGAAGATCTGGACAAATCAGAGTCAAAACAAAAGGTATTATTGAGGAAATCATTCTAGAAATGAGAGCTGACATTGACTTAGGATTCCCCTGAAACAAGTCACAAAAGACTTGGACTATTTTTTTTTCAGAATATAAAGGAAAACAAAGCAGTATGTACCTTATACTTCCCTTGGAAAGAAGTACTAAAGAAGGATTGAAACCGTCTTTCCACATAGCAAGTTTCTTCCTTAGGACACACTAATGTCTTTAGCAACGTTTAAAACATATTTTCCAATTATATGACGAATTGAACATAAACTAGTATTTTCATCAAGAGTTAAAAGTAATGTCTAATGAAGATGATTTGTCTCTCCCATTCTTTGTACTGTTTCTAATAATCCAGCTCTAAGTGTAGTACAATCTTATGACACTCTGACATTGGTGTCACCTGACACACAGCCATTCTTGGGGCATTTGGTATTTCCAGGTTTCTCTTAAGAGGATATGGTTGTCAGCAAGAATGAAGAGCTCAGCAGTAGCACAAACACAATATTTGAAATTGCTTTGATGAAAAAGTAATGTCTAGACATAAGGCAGGGTGCGTAGGGAAAGAATTTTTTGGCAAATTAGAGTAAGTGGGTATGTTCAGATTCAACTCCTACTGTGAGGAGTTTTTCAGTCAACTGTGACTTCTAAAGTAAACATTATTATTTTTTTTTTCTACCAGAAAATGAACTCATGAGCTCATGCTTACGAAGCAGGTGCTGTGCCACAGAGCAGTATCCCCAGCCCTGAAGTAAACTTTTGAAGTAAGAAGAGTTTATTCTGCTAGACTGAGTTAATATCATTTTCATTTTGGCTATTTATATTGTAAATAGGGGAGGAAAAAATTGTAATAATTCTGAAATGGTGAACAAATGTGGCTTTTGTGTGTATTTGCATCCCAAATTTCTATTCTGCTTTAAATTGTAAATCTTTAGCATG